GAGGAGAGGCTGAGGGAGCTGGGCCTGTTCAGCCTGGAGAAGAGAAGGCTGAGAGGGGATCTGATCAGTGTATATAAATACCTCAAGGGAGGGAGTGAGGAGGATGATGCTGGCCTCTTTTCAGTGGTGGCCACTGACAACTAGAGGAAATGGCTGGGAACTGAAGCATCAAAAGTTCCACAGGAACTTAAAAAAAATTTTAACAGTGAGGGTGACAGAGCACTGGAACAGGCTGCCCAGAGAGGTTGTGGAGTCTCCTTCTCTGGAGATCTTCAAAACCCGCTTGGACGCAGTCCTGTGCCACGTGCTCTAGGTGACCCTGCGTGTGCAGGGGGTTGGACTAGATGATCTCTAGAGGTCCCTTCCAACTTTAAGCATTCTATGATTCTATGAATTTTTGTGTGATTCATAGCAGACTTGCTTTGTACTCTGACTATGGAAGCTGCTGTAAAATTCATGCCATGCAAGAATCTTGAAAACTTCAACAGAGCATAAGTTACACAGTTTCTAGGAAGTCTCAACTTCCTAGAAAAGGCCTGAAATGCAGTTCAAAGATGGGCAGGGACTCTAAAGTGTAAATATTATGATTTATTTGTCTACTTCATTATACTACTGCTCACTGTTTTCACAGAAATGCATTGCTAATAACTCTTTAACAGTGAAATATGAATAGTATTTATTAAACATGAAATAGCTCTTCAGCTCTGAAAATAAGTAAATGACCTTGTTATCTCTCCCCTAATTGGTAGCCTCAAAATAGATTGCACATAGTGCTATAGCACTGACATGTGTTTCCATTGCTGCTTGTTTTGATTTCAGAGATTCCCTTTCTGCAAACCTTGTTTCCCTTTCAGACTTTTTGCAAGAGAAGACAGCAAGCACGTCGTTCAGATAGTTGGACTGCGAGAGGTTCAGGTGGACTCTGTAGACCTACTGTTAGAGGTAACCTCTATGCTGGTGCTTATTTTGTCTTCCACTCAATTCACCAATTTGTGGGATGAGTCATTTGCAGAGAAGACTGATATTTGTTGACTACTGTATGTGTATGTTCCTGTTGAAGACTCTGAGCTTGGCAACCTCAGCAGAGAACTGGGTTTATTTTTTTAATTTGTTTAATAGATTCATATATTTCTCCAGTGTGATTTCTTTGGCTTCTGTAAGCTTATGGTTTCTCTCTAAAGGGTGTGTGAGTGTGGGAGAATAGATATAAATTTGAAAATCAATAAAGCTAGAAATTATAAAATACTTAAGATTGTGAAACTGAGTTGATTTAGGATGGAGACTTTACTTAAACAATGCTACACGATAATAGCCTTGTAAAATTAGAGTCTTTAAACAGTAGTTGATGTTCAGTACAAGCAAGGCTTCAGTCTGTCTTCTCTGCTTGGCTGAGCTCTACAAGAGCATTAGCAGATGTTCTGCTTTGTCCTGTTCTAAGAAAGCTAGTTAAATCTGCTTTCCATTTTTCTTGACTTTGCATAGCTTAATTCCTTTTGCAGTAAGGAATTGTAAATTAAAAGTGCCTGATAGTGTAATTGACTCATTAGAATTGGCAGAGTGTTGCCCACTTATAGTCCATTTAATTTTGTTCTTTATCCTCTTATTAACTCCAAGCTTCAGGACATGCTGGTGATGCTTCTGCAAATTAGATTGTAAATCTGCTATATGGTTGATTAAAACGTTCCTCTGTGTTATCACATTCCACACACAGAAGAGCTATTAAATGACTTCATTCTCACAGGTATCTTGGCAAAACTAATTTTGTCCACAGGGTCTTCTGAAAACAGAAGTGTCACTAGCTTGACTCAGTGTTTTTGACTAGCCTGCAATAGATAAATTTGAAGAGCCTTGAATATGTTTTCAGTTATTCAATGTTCATTGAATGGAATTCATCATTGCCTTTGGTTCAGAAATTTTCTGTGCATTTGGCACTGATACAATGCTCAGTTGCTAAAACAGTTCATTTTATTGCTGGATAAGGGCTCAACAGCCACTGAAAGGCAAGAGTAACGTGCATCTGTCAACTGACACCATATTGATTTTCCTAGATTAATATTTATATTTGTTTTTGCTACCAGAAGCAAAGTTAATGACTCTGTTGTATGAATGCCCTGCTGTAGTTATTGCTACACTTCCTGCAACAGTCTTTAAAATTTTGCAAAAGAGAATTTCCTGAAATTTTATCTTGAAGATGTTATTGCCCTTTTGACGTGCCTCTGCCCTTTGTTTTCTTATTTTTTTGCTAACCTTGAATATAACTGATGCTTTAGCTTTGCCTCTGGCATTACTGCTTTTAGTTGTGGAGAAACGTTTTGGCACTCTGTGTCTTGTTATATTGTAAGTCTCTTGATTTTCTGGGTAACAGTACCAGTCTGCAACATAAAAATGTGAAATTAAACTAAAAGAAGAAAAAACACAACAAGAACAAAACGACAACAAATATACTCAGTCTGAGGTTATCTCCTCAATCTACTTTCTTTCCTTTTATAATCTAGATATTTTGCAAATCAGTTTGAATGCCTACAATAGTCTCTGAACTCTGTAGTGTCACCACAAGCAAATCCATATATAAAGTTCTCGAAGAAACATTGGAAGGGATTCAATCTAACTTAGCAACTGCCCTGCACCAAAATTTGAGGGCTCTAATGAAGTGTTCCTTTGAATGTAACTTAAACTGAAGAGAATGGGATCTTCTTCAGAGACTGTGTTTTAAATGCAATTTAATTGTGTTTTGTTCCCCTTGATTCCAGGTGATTTTGAAGGGGGGGAAGGAACGTAGCACAGGAGCCACTGGAGTAAACTCTGATTCCTCTCGATCTCATGCTATCATCCAGATCCAAATTAAAGACACAGCCAACAGGACATTTGGAAGGTAAGATTAGAAACAGAACTGCACAATCTGTCAAGGTTGGTCACTTGCTGATCTGTACCACCACCATTTGATGAGGAAATCAATCTTGAGGACATCCAGGGGGCAAACTGAGAAGAGAGATTGAATTTGTGGATAACTGCTAGTTAAACCAGAAGACAGGGTTCAAAGGGGCTTTGAGAAGTTTCATAACCTTATTCTGCTGCCAGGAAGAATCCTTAAGCCATTTCTGGCAAATGTTTGTTAGACTTGTTCTTAAAGATTTCCAGTGAAGGAGTTTTACTGCCATCTTGAGATAATCAATTCCATCCCTTCATCTTTAGCGCTGGAAAGCTTTTCCTTTTTGGCATTAATCTGGCCAAAGGTAGATGTCTGCAGGGGTCCCCCCTGCATGCGAGTTTATCACTTCTCAAGTCACTGCTATTTCTGGGGCCTGATTCAGCCCATTCTGCAGAGTCACTTAAAACAGATCAGATGGAGTTGCCTCTAAAAAACACTTTTCTTTGGTCTATAAAGAAAGCATGGAATGCCTAGCCCAGAGGGAGGTGTTTCTATTCCAGAAGCCTCCCTTTGGTCAGAGGATTCCTTGTGACTCACCTAATGATCTCTGATAGCTTGAGCATGTGAGACTGGTGCTACCTGCAGCAGACTTGTACAAAAAAAAAAGGCAGCTTAGTACTGCTTATGGTAGTCATTTAACATAATTAAAGACAGTGTAATTGTGTCTTTTCTCAGTCATCTTTTCTCCAGACTAAACAACTCCAAAAAATAGCTTGATTAAAGATGTCTAGATGTTTACATTACCATCTGAGCGTTCAAAAATGTGCTGACTTGCCCTCCCAACAAATAAGATGCAGTCTTGCTCCCCAGGATCATCTTACAAATACAAGGCAAAACGTTAGAGCAACAAATAGTGGAAAAGAACAAGGCAAAAACAGAGCAGGCAGACTGGGAAATAGAAATGTATGTGTTTATGTAGGTGTGGCATGTGTACTGTTGTTTGTTGCTGAAAGAGAAGGGGAACTGGAGAGGGGAAAGGATCCCAAAATACACCTGTAATAGAAGTCAAGGCTGTTCTAGAATATGAAGAAGAGCACAAAAGAAGACGTAGTGCAACATTCAGTAGAGTACCTGGCATCCAGGGCTAGGGGATATGGGGGGGGTGTAGAAGAGATTTGAGGATGGAACAGGAGCAGTGACAGCTCAATGTATTATTTATTATACTGGAAATTTCTGTACATACTGCCCTGAATTCCCATTGAACCTAGGCAGATGTCTGTTTTACCTGTAAGGAGACTCAAAAAGTTTACTATTTCTTTAAATGTGTTCTTAGGAAGCTACTAGCACAGCACTTTTCCAGAGAGATGTATGCTTTACATTTTAAATAGCTTTATCCTACAACTGTGAAGCATTCTTACTGCATGCAATTAGACTGCCTGTTATGACTATGTCAATGCCAGAACACTTTGCCACTGTTCCTGTAGCTGCTTCCATGCTTTTTTCAATGTCTCAGATATTTACAGTGCATATTTTTCCTTGTTCAATGGTAGTTATTGCTAATCAATTTTATGGTGTCATGTTTTGTTTTATTTAGACAAGAAAACAAATCCCTAAGATAAATGCAATTTGTTTTTTTCTAGGATATCATTCATTGATTTGGCTGGCAGTGAAAGGGCAGCTGATGCTAGAGACTCAGATCGGCAAACAAAAATGGAAGGAGCAGAAATAAACCAAAGCCTTTTAGCAGTAAGCTACTAGCTTGTCTGGGGAGGGTTTTGTAATTAATTTTTAGTGTGCATTTTAATTTGAAAAGAAACCACAGAACAGCACATGTATGATTCCCATGGAGGGGAAAAATTAGAAATAAATTAAAAAATGAAGTACTAAGTACTAAGTGTTCCCAGTTTAAAGACTAAAAGACATTTTAGAGGAAAAAGATTTTGTGGAATGAAAATCAAGTCTTTCTAATGCATTCTTATGGCCAGTCAGGTAAACAGAGCATAGAAAATTTTCAGTGTACTAATACAGGTGCCTTATATTTTACATAGAAATTTTATGTCCCTCTTATAGAGATTATTAGCTTAAAATTGCCATACTTGTTTCCTAAAACACATCTGTTTCTGTTGCTTATTTTTACCACTTGAACTCAGACTTCTTTAACAAATCAGGAAGAAAGAACTTAAATACTCAAGAGTGTAGGATATAGGAGTTCACATGTGAGTGGAAAGGAACAGGAGGAAATGCATTCTTGATGTAAACTGTCTTCTACAAGTGTGCACAGTAATGCAGAGAGGGACAAGGAGCAGAGAAATGTCATCTAAGATAAAGCAGAAGTGCCACTAGTAATAATTGTGCAGCAGGCTTTACAAGCCCTTTAACTCAAATGAATTCAAGTGACTTCGTTGATGAAGTGAGGGCTTCCCCAAATGAGGAAGGTGATACTCAATCAGAGAGTGTGAATCAACAGTACAGAAATTACTTGATGCAAGCATCATCTGTTTATGCTGTTAGCGTGCTGTAAATAGGATATGGCTTGTTCTGCTTTGGAAATGGAAAAGGTTATTTTGCACAGAGCCTTTCCAAGTGTGGAATAATAGCATCCATACTGGGAGACAGCATGTAAAGCAAATGTATTTATGTACTTCTCACTTTCTTGAGTACTTGTTGGTTAATAACTGAGTGTCAGTGGAGTCAGGATTGACTTTGAGTCTGTTGCTTTTCTGTGTGACCCTCGCAGTTACAGTGCATCCCCATTTATCTCTGTATACAGAGATGATTCCTAGGGACTGAGGCTTGACATAGGCTTGTAAATTTGTTTTACAAAGAACTGTTTTTAAATGTGTGTGTTAACTGCTGTTGTGTGAAGCTGAGTAAATGCTTGGTAATCTACTAATAGCAACAGAATTATCTAGAAGAGCCATCTTTGAGTAAGTCTCCATGATCTGCAGTCTGTAAAAACTTGGCTCCGTTGACTTATGACCATAATGTTCTTTTCTGGTCTTAAAATGTATGAAGTTTGAAGTTTCCTACTTGTTTTAATATGCATGTTAATTTCAAGTAGAAGATACTCAGATACAGCAGTTATAAAAAGCAGTATCAAATATTAATTTGATGATCTTGCATTTACTTGTTGCCAGACCTGTGCTTTGTAAGAATATGCAGTAAACATGAGAAACATGTATCATTTTAAGTGTGTATTGTTCCTTTAAACGTAGAAAGATTGCTTCATGCTAATGTCACCATGACAATCCTGTGATCTGCTTATTTTTCTCTCAGTATTTGCTTTTATAATGATTTGCTTCGTGGCTGTACACACTTCTATCAATTTTAGAGAGCATCCAAGCTTGATATTGAGTGTGATGCTACTGTGCTTGTTCCAGTGAAAATACAACCAAGAGGGTATATATTTAAATATGAAACTGTCATTTTTCTCTAGGCTAGGAATAACTCAAGAGGTATCTCCGAGACTATGAACTGCCTCTGGTCATGGTTATTAAGGAGATCAGATGTGTTTTGGGAAAAGCATGGTTGTAGCCAGCTTCTCATGCTCTGTTGAGAGGGGGTGCTGTGGCTGTATCTCCTCTCCCTGAGTTGCTTCACTTCCATTTTTTTTGTGCAGTTTTCACTAGCCAACCAAAAGACACAGTGAAATATTTGGCTGGACAGACAGGCTACATCTATACTACCTGCTGAGCACAGGTTTGAATGTGAGCTTGAATCCAGCTCGCCGTACATGTAGTTATTGGGCTGCTAGTCAAAGCTTTCCCCGCTGGTTAGGCTTGGGCCACTGCTGGGGCAGAGAGGAACTGGTTTGAGATCAGCCTCCTCCTAATGCAGCCCAGGGCACCCACTTGCAGGATACACAGATGCAGTGTCTGGGCTGGAGGCCGGAGTTGTGTGGGGAGGAACATGCCCTTAGTTGCTTGGGCCACTTTTGCCTAATGATAGCTGCCAGAGTGGCATAAGGAATTTACAATGCTGCTGTCCAGAATGTTTGTTTTTTTCCTTTTTCAGAAGAGGAACAACTTATTCTAGAAAAATTATTTTAGAGGAACTCCAAAAGCTTGGTTCTGTATTCACAACCCGCAACATCCTAGGGATACACATAGCATAGCACAGACCCACCTGCTTCTGCTTCAGACTAGTTACCTGTGCTGCAGGCAGCTGTTAATGCCCAGCAGTGTGAAGGTGGGTGTTTGCTGGACATATTTTGTATATCCCATAAAGACAACAGGCTGGGCTAGCTGGGTAGGTTTGGTTCCCGCTGTGAGCGACGTCATGTGGCAGGAGCCAAAGGCACATAAGGAAAGCAGCGAATTTGGTAGGTTAGTTATGGTGAAATTCGGTTGCTTTCCAGCTCATGATTGATGTGTTCTTCCCCCTCTTGTCTTGGTAGCTCAAGGAATGCATTCGGGCGCTGGATCAGGAACATGCTCACACACCTTTCCGGCAAAGCAAACTAACCCAGGTAAAACCAGCAAGAAGGCAGCAGTAGGTATTTCCCTGAGGAGGCCGTCGTGAAAAAGATATGATTCAATAGCTGTGATTAAAGCTTTGAAAAACACAGTAATTAATAACTTCCCAAAATATTAAAGGTAATCACAGAGTTAAGGTCAACTCCCAACAAGAAATATAATCAATGCAGAGGACCATCATGGTGAAAAAAGGTACCAGCTTCCCAGAAGTGCACTGACTCCTGAGCTTCATGCTTGAATCCTCTCAGTCCTATGTGATTGTTTTGCACAAACAGCCCCATGGACCAGCTGTCAGCAGATATTCATGTTGTGAACATCTGCAAAACCAGACTCGAAAGAGCTGCCCTCCATCCCCACCCATTCCACCATCAATCTTGCATCCTCTGTGCAGTAACAGACAGGGGAGTTTTGATCAACATTTCTTCACTCTAGTTGTGACATATGCTTTATTCCTCAAAACATATGGGCAGCCTTGTGGCACCTGGTGCAAGGGCTTGTTTGGAGCACTGATTAACACTTGTGTTCATTTTAAATTGTAAACAAAGAATTACAAGACAAATTGAGACACGTGGACTACATAAAAAGAGACAGTTACTGTGCAGCACTTGAATCATGTTAGACTGCCTCTGTGCACACTGTTAATTCATAGGAAGCACAAGATAACGTAGTTAACTTTTTATAAGTTCTGAGCAGAACTTCACATATTTTGTGCAAAATGGTGTATACCAGAGTCTAATACACAGTAACCCCCTCAAAAATTCTTTAAACTGCAAATCTTAATCCTGTGAGTTCTGAATTTTTATCCCTTATTGTTTGAAAATAAATATATGAATTACTAAGAATCTTACACTTTTTTTTTTTGTTCCCACTCCTAGGTCTTGAAGGATTCTTTCATTGGCAATTCCAAGACATGCATGATAGCCAATGTATCACCTAGCCACATAGCTACAGAGCACACCCTGAACACTTTGCGATATGCTGACAGGTGGGTGACATGGGTCAGACTTGCTAAGGTGGAAAACAGCAAGAAAAAAGTAATGTATAATGCATTTGATATTACTTTTTTGATTGCATTGGAAATAGTGAGTTAAGCAAAAAATGCAATTAGCATTCTAATATAAATAACATCCTTACCTATTCTGCTCTTACATTAGGTCATAAAAATTTGCAAGTCTTGAAACTCCTCCTCTCTGATGGCAGCTTTTAGTGATGAAAATCTCACTGTGCTCTCCGTAGCTGTGGATTGCTAACCTTGGTACTCAGAGTTTTGTTTTAGCTTCCTACTGTAGCTCTGCCTAGTGTTGGCTACAGCCCCTCACCTTTCTGTGCATTGTTCAAGAAAGCACTGTAAAATACTATATAGACCTTTCCAGAAGCTCAGGCATTTTGGTACAGGTGTTATTGATGCCTGCTAGAGTCACTGATAATTTAAACATAAATCATGATGTTCAATTAAGTTTTTAGCCTTAATATGTCAAAGTATTACTTTGTTCTGAAGGCACTGCTAGTTCTCTGAGAGAATGACATCTAAAGCCAGTCTCATTTTCAGGGTCAAAGAGCTGAAAAAAGGGATCAAGTGTTCTACTCCTGTCACCAACAGACGTCGGATAGCTGGAAGTGCATCTCCAAAACGTATCCAAAACTCTCCCTCTTTGCCCCCTGGGGAAAAGAGCTCCCCAAAGAAAGTGAAGCTAGGCCTTCAGCATCCTTCTGCTGCTGCGAAAACAAAACCATGTCCTTCAGCTCTGCAGCCACCCGGGGTCCCCTTCACCTCCACCCCTAGGGGCGTCAGCAAGGGCCACAGCTGCAGAGCAAACCCCAGCTCCCCCTGGTTCCACCACACCAGCCCGGTGAAGGGCGTCCTGCGCATGGGGCAGCCCCTGAAGAAGAAGGCGGATGATCTGTCTCCCCACTCTGCAACTCCCCACATTGCAAAGGATTTTATCATCAAAAATGCTGCCTTGAGCGAGGCAAAAGAGAGTGGCCAAAGAGACAGGAATATGCAAGATAAACCCCCTGGCCAATCCCCGAAAGTCCAGACAGTGCAACCTGTGCAGAAACAGCTTGTTTCTAGAGAAGATTTTTCCTGTGGGGATGGAAATCAGTCTTCTGATGACAGTCAGGAGTGGGGAAATGCCTTCGCTAAACAGTGTGTTGAAACATGGACAAACCTTTCTCCATTCCAGAAGGAAAGGGAGGAGCATTTACGTCTTTATCACCAGCAGTTTCAGCAGCCTCCTATACTCCAGCAAAAATTAAACTACCAACCTCTTGAGAGGTTTTTAACTCAGTACAAGCCCCAGGAGATTCAAGTGCAACAGGAGCTGAGCTTTACCCCCACAGAAGCACAGAGCAAAGAGGGGATGCAGCTGGAAGATCTGGATGACAGTGACTTCAGTGAAGATTCTTTCTCACCTGTCTGCAGTCAGAAGAGCGTGAAAAGAAGGAGCCCCAGTGAATGCAGCCAACATTCATTTTTCCTTCATCAGAGAGAACAAGGAACTGAGGAAAAGCAGAAAGACCAAAAGAGGCAGGATTTATTATTTAAATATTCATTTCCCATGCAAGAACATGAACTAGATGACAGCTGGGATTGTAGCAGAGGCTGTCCAAAGACAGAGGAATCTATTAAAAATACAAGTGGATGCAAAACTCCATCAGATTGGAGCTATGACTTAACTATTGAGTCCCCTCCAAGCAATACTGCAGAAAAACCTTACTGTCTGCAAGATGATTTTGCTTGTAACTGGAAAAATGGCAAAGATTTTCCAGATGATCTGAAACAATACAAACCCAAACACCAATGTCTCATTAATTCCAGTGAAACTCCCTTGATTCCGGAAAAGGAGGCTCCAAACCCATGTGTTTCTCCCATATCAAAATCAGGGACTCCAGAGTATAGAGAGATCAACCTCCTACACAGGCAGAAGGAAGAACCCACCTTGGATAGACCGGCTGCTCTTGCAGGAGACATGAAATGGAGAACTCGAAAAAATGGAGTTGGCCAATGTGGAGCTTCCGGTCCTTGCTCAGAGCTGTCTTCTGAGGCAGCAGCCCCTCTCACAATGTCCCTTCTTGACCATGAGGAAGCAACTGATACCGAGACTGTGTCTTCCAACCACGAGAAGTCTCCCCACAAGAAGCAGGTGATGGAGGGGAACATCCCTGGTGCCCAGAAAGGACCCAGGGAGGAGGCCTGGCAGTGCACGAGGAACAGAGCTCTCACAGACAGCATGCTGGAGCTCGGGGAGCCAACACGGCGTGCCGGAAGGGGCTGCGTCTTGCAGCGTTTTCCCCAACCAGGGGACAAGTGGTTTTCACCCGCAGGCTGCTGTGTGAAGCCTTGCTGCTGCCTTCTGGCCTCAGGATCATCAAATCAAGGAACTCTTCACGGTTTGTTTGCTGGAAGTGAAACCCTAACAGAAGCATCTGCAACTGAATCCAGGGACTCCACAGGAGAGAGGGAGGGTGGCTTCCTGCTCAGGAACTCGGCGTGCAGAGGATACGCAGATAGGAGACAGCGTGATGCTGATGTTAGAGACATTACTGATAATTTGGGAGAATCCAATCCAAATCAAGGACACGGCGTTGAGCCTGATATTTCTGAAAAGGGATACTTTTCAGGTATGCCGTGTTTTCCCAGTGGGGGAAATATGGATCATGCAGCCCAGTGCCCCTCTCAAGAAGGCAGCCGGCTACTGCAGCCCAGGTCAGGACTGAGTCGTTCTGAAGACACAGCCAAGTCATCTTTCAGAAACGAGGAAATTGGGTTGCTTAAGAACAAATGGATGCAGAGTGTTTTTACAAAAGAGCCTTTGCCAGATTCAGAATCAGCTGCCAAGGAGATTAAGCCACCAGCAAATGCAAACAGCCCCTCAGGTCTGCCTGGCACCATCTCCCCGAGCTCTGCGTCAGAGATGGGAGAGCAGCAGAGGGAAGCCCTGGAAAAGGCACAGTAAGTCTTACTTATCACTGTAGTTTGACATGGAGCTTAGGAAATCTAGACACGAATGTGTTCCTTCTGCCTTTGTTTGTATCTCACACTTTTATGCACTTCAAAACTGTTGGGAAGTCAAATAACCTACGAAATAATTATTTAATAACATTAAGGATAATTAATAGTCATTATCTTATGTAAATATGTGATTGACTGTTATTCAGTGATACTTTAAAATCTCACAGGAAGCCAATTATTCCATTAGTGCTTCCTTGGATAACGTTAGAAGAATGAATAACATAACACAAGCTGAAATTCTCAGAACTGACTTCCTTTAAGATGGAAAGTGCCTAAAATACATCAAAACCGCCCATTATGAAGCAGGTGAGAGCTATTGCTCCCTTACAGAAAGAAACCCATCCAGAACAGCAAAGCGGTCCCCGAGGCAGCGGGCAGCAGCCTCAGGGTGCTGCTGGCACCGCTGCTGCCAGCTCCTGCAGCCTCAGCTGCTCTCAGTCCCCCTAAAATGCTCTAAAGGGCCAGGGAAATTCACTCGAAGCAAAAACAGCAGTGCAGCCTTCCTGCTGCGCTTGGTTTTTTGCCAAAGTGATTTTCAGCCTCTTGGTCTTATCAGGCAGGGGCTTTTTTCCCTCCTATGGTAAAAAGCAGGACATGCTCCTGTGCTGCCTCTGCCTACATGAGGCTGGAATCCTCGGAGCAATCCTCCCTCATCAGGGTTTTTACCTGCAGCCTGAACAAGTACAGCTCATGCATCAAGAGCTAGTCTGTCTGTATATGCCTGTGTGTGTGCACAATGTGTATATACATGTGTACAAGTGCCTGGGTGCCGGGGACTTAATAGTAATTGGAGGTGGAGCAGCAGCTGTGTGACCAAAGCTAAACTTCACGTTCAACAGGCAGGCTGTGATTCGAGCCCATCGGCAGCAGCTGGACGAAATGGCCGCCTTGTGCTTGAAGGAAGAGTGCTTGATAAATCAGGTGTCAGCAATGGTAAGTATTTCAGATGCTGCTCTGTGATTTCTCCTGCTTCCTGATGGGCGCTTGTCCCTGTTGTGGGACAAGCCTCACACCCCCAGCCCAGAGCAGCCCCATTGCCCAGTGAGAGCCTCCTGCCCTCCTCCCTCCCTCGTCCCCTCAGTGCAGCCGGGTTCCACTGCTGCGTTACAGCATCGAAGCCATGGCTGTGCCTAGCACAGCTGCGGGGCTGCACTGGGAGCTCTTGCTGCTGGGCATTCGGAATGGCAGCCCCCTGGGGCCCCTCTGCTGCAGGTTTCTGCGGCGCGCTGCAGCTGGCAGCGCCGTGCGTGGGGTGCAGCACCAGGGAGCCCGGAGCAGCTCAGGAAGGGCCACAACAGGCACCAACTCTATTAGCTTTGTGACAGAGATCAAGATTTTACAAAGCCATCTTTTTACATTTTTTTTTCTCCCCTTTAAATTATTCCAGGTTGTTCTTGTTAACTACGTTAACTTCCTCCTTGCTACCCCCAAATCCCTTTATTTGCCCTAAGCAGCAGCCATTTTGAGGCTAGCAGGAGGCTGCTGTTCTTGCCAGTGTGTGGCAGTGTGTGAGTGGCTTCTGCTTTTGCTGTTCCCACACAGCAGGATCCTTCCTTGGGCAAGGAAATCAGCTTGGACTTCCCAGGTCAGCTTGTCCTCCAGTTGCTTTCGGGCAGCTGCCACTTCTCCAGCCATGAAACCGGGGTCACAGTGAGACTCCTGACAACACCCAGCACATGAGCACATCCTGAGCAGGCAGAATTTAAAGTGCTTAGGAAAAATAAGGCAGGGCGGCTGGGTTGGTGTTGGTCACAGTGCTCGTGTCTGCAGGGCAGAGCCCTAGAGCTGCAGGACTGTTTGTCACACAGTAGCTGCTGAAGTCCCTAGCCCTGACCGATGGCTCCCCGTTTCTGACTGCTACTCCATTAACACAAGCCTTGCTTAAAAAGAGCTGCCTCCATTTCAGTGTTAGGAGCAGTTTGTCTAATTTTGTGGCAGGTGGCAGTGCCCTCTGGGCCATCCATCGCAGCTGTTTCTCGTGTTGGATTCAGCAGACCTGCTGTGCAGGAGTTGGACTTGCTCTGCAACCTGGTGTAAAACCACCCTACCCCTTGCCCAGGATTGATGTCATGTGCCTGTGTGATCATTGCTCACCTTCATGATTGCAGCTGCAATGCCAGAGAGAGTTGTTAGGAACATGGACAAAGTACATTCAGTGCGTTGTAGAACCTCACCTCAGTTGACTAGTGTCTTTATCAAATAAGGAAATACTGAGCAAGTCTGTTACACTGTATGTTAGAAAAGATTATTTTAGGTCCTGCTGCAGTACATGGACTGACCGCCTCCAGCCTGCTGCTGCTGGGGTTCTCCACACTTCCCTTTTGTTTCTCTCCCCAGGACTTTCAGAGCTTCGTGACCAAGCTGGATGAAATCTTGGTGCTGAAGTCCAGGTGCATCCAGACGATGCGAGCCCAGCTGAAGCTCTGCTCAGCGGCTGGCACCAACACAGCCATGCAGGCACCACCGCCCGTTTAGCTGCTCTTTGCTGGCACGTCCTGTGCACAAAGCAAGCGCCAGCCACAGCCAGCTTGTGTTGCACCCTGCTTGGTGCTGCAAAGGGTGGGTGGGGAGGGGAGGGCTTTTGGTTTGATATTTGCAATTAGTTTGTATTTTGGAAGAGGATGGAGAGAACTTTGCGTAAGAGACAGGAATGCTTATCAACACAAGCTTTAACAAGCTTAAAATATCAGCCACCTTTTTAACATTATCAGTTCAGCGCCTTTAAATATCTCACCAGGCAGCCTAGTCCGCAATATCCACAGCAGCTTCTCACCTACTAAAGGTACTTTTGTGCTGCCAAGGAAATGGAGAAGAAAGCCCTTTGAAACCAGCTACAGCTCTAACAGAAGCATTCAAAAGCTGTCCAGAAAAGGACGCTGGTAAACAGAAAAGCAGAAGTGAGGAATCAGGGCCGGGTGGTGGAGGGGAGCTACTGCTTAAGCATGCTAAATAATTAGACCAAAAAGGAAAATCAAGGTAGGATGAGAAGGTGCTGGTGCTTTCAGGAGGCAGAAGGCTATTGCTGCCCTTCTTCGCTTCACAATGACTCCAAACCATCTGCAAAAGATGGCTTAAGTAAGGCACGTGCAATAGGTGGCTTAGCAGAAGGCTTGCAAACAAGAGACTTTGCACCAAAGGTTGATCTGGAATTAATAAACACATGGGTGTCATACCCAGGCCAAGAGCAGCAAGCCTGACATTTAGCCTGCTACAAAGGGTGCCTGGCCTTCTCACTACAGCTCTGCAGCTGTAGGGGACTTTGGCCAGGTTGATTTTGTGACACTGCAGAATCCGTTTTTTTCACATGAAAAGAGAGAGTCCACTCGGGCAGGAGGATTTCAGAAGCTGCCACCCCTGTGGTTCAGCAAACCCTAGTGAGGACTGAAACTGTTCTCACTGCTGCTGCACTTCCTGTTACGTAAACCTGATACAGAACTATGAGCTGCAGCCCTGCATGGTCCCTGCCTCTGTGCATCACATCCAAGCCTCAAAACAAACCCACACGTCAAGTTAGAGCATGTGCAAGCAAGACAACACCCTATCCGAGTTATCCCGGTCCAAAGCTAGGGCTGCAGCAGCACCCAGCCAGCTCCGTGTCTCCTCAGCACTGCCTGCAGCAGCTCAAGGGCCACAAGGGCCAAGGGGAATAAGCACGAGTGGAAGTAGCTGTGAACTCTACTGTGTGCTGCGCAGGCTGCCCAAGGAGCCGCGCAGGGAGCGCACGGGCAGCGGGTGCTGGTGCTTATTCGGAGCGAGCACTCCCAGGATTGACACACAGCTTGAGCCCGGGGGAGCAGACTGAGCCAAAGACCAGCTGAAAAACATCGCAGCTCAGTCTGGGGCCTGACTTTTGTTTTTTACTAAACAGTAACTGCTCAGTTTCCACCTCACTCACCCGGGCAGTGGATCATGCTGCCACAGAAAGAGCAGAGCCGTTTCTGGGGCCGAGCTTACGGGCCTCAAGGCAGCACCTATGTCCAGTGCAGAGTCACACCTGGAATGAGGCCTCCTTTCCAGAAGCCACCTTTGCTCCAAGAAACAGGGCTTTGGGTAGCAAGAAGGGCAGCAGCTCTGCAGCAGCGGCAGCACTTGGCATCCCCACACACCACCAAGTAGGTCTGCACGGGGCCACGAAGCGACCGCGCTCGCCTCCTGCCAGCGCTGGAGTACAGTGAAGCGTTAAAACACCTGTGGCCTGGGAGATGTGGTGGGGTGGTAGGCCCTCCCATGGCAAAGTATCTTGAAAAAGCAGCCCAGCAACATACTCTCCTAGCGATTTTCAGTCTTTCCCAAGATGGCCATTTTTAAAACACTTTGCAAGAATGAACTACAGTGTGACATGTGCCACATTATTATCTCGGTATTTTCTGTGATAAGTGCAGTACAGATGAGTGACCAGAAATTTCCATGTGCAAAAGAAAAAGGAGTCAAATGGGCCACGGACCTTTGAGCCATTGGTGTGTGGTTTCTGTGTGGTCTGCAGCGACACAGGCAAGCGAGCCTAGGCCCTGGGCAGGGCCTCAGGGACAACCAGAAGCACTGAGAAACATGCAGGGGAGAAAATAAATAAATAGAGCGGTTTCCAAGACCTGAGCATCTCCTAATCTGGAAGGGCAGCTGTTAAGCAGAAGATTTTACTTCTAGGCTATTTCTCAGCATATTCTTTTCCCTGCTGAATGCAAGACACAGTCTACTGTCCAAAGAAAATAAATAAATACATGAAAGCACCTCATCCTTAGCAATAACACGATGACTGACGTACTTGAAGTACTGCTAGTCCATAAAATAACAAAACTGGGCTTGTACTATGTACCAGAAGCTACCAAAACGATAGTGTATTTTCTCTCCACTTAAGGTCATTACCTAGCTGCTGCTTAACTCTTGTGTGAAAGGTGTTAAATGAGTGTTTCGGGAACAGCAGCCCTTTACAGCTCTTCAGTGCTGCACTGACATTCGATACGAGTTGTTTTCATTTCAAACACCGAGGAGCGTCTGCAAGGGTAGCTGTTACACAAATCTTTTAACGGGTTGATAGAGCCTGGCCATATATAATCAAGTAAAATAAGAACTGTAATGTATTTAATTGTTGTATTCGACTGCAACAAAGACTAGCAATGCTCATGGCAGGTGCTTGATATTTTATTTGAATACTTTACATTATTTAAAATAAAATTGTTTGCTACAGAACTCTGGTAAAGTTTGTTTTAAATTAAACACGATCCAAACTAAAAGCATCTGATTGCAAAATATTAACTTGGGTTGGAAATAAGACACGAGACCCTCCTTGGCACCCGGCCCGTTGGTTCAAGCTCACGTTTCAGACACTGCCCTCCAGCTACCGGCCAGAAGGACCCGCTTAAACCCGCAGCCGACGCGGGACACAATCCCGGGGCACCCCTGGGTTCGGAGGTGGCTCCTGCTGCCCCTCGCGCTGGAGGATGGCACTACAGGGCTGCCCCCGAGCCCGCCCGGGAGCACAGGGCCTGTTGTAGCATCTCGCAGCTCACACCTGGCTTTTGTGGCCGCTGCGGGAAGCCCTCGGGAGGCAGCGCTGAGCTCCGCGCGCTCCACAGCCAACCCCAGGCAGCCCGTGCCTCCACACTGCAAAAGCCGGAGTGCAGACACTAGCATTTACCCAGCTGCAAGGAAGGCAAAATGGCCTCTGACAATGTCAAAATGCTGCCATTTACAGGTACGTAAATGGAGCTGATGCTCTGGGCCTTTCCAGAAAAAGCAGGTCTGTACAGCAGGGAACACAATCACCTTCTCTGCAGCCCTGGGCACTGCAGGGCTGAGAGCCTCCGGCCCCAGCACAGCACAGTTACACAACAGTGCAACTACAGACGCACGCCGCCCACAGCCAACATTCACACTTCAGCACATGGTTTGGCCCCACGTCGTTACCTCTCTCCTCAGGGCTCAGTTAATGCCTTCGCTGGACGGTTGCACGACCTACACGTTCGTTCTGCACGAGGAGCCGCGGACGTGCAGGGGCCTCAGGGCGCTGGCGGAGACAGTGAACAGCCCCCACCTCCGTGGTCCGTCCGGGAGGCTGGATCCAGAGCTGCCGCTGCCCGACCTTCGCTTCGCACAGACGTTAGACCAACACCTCCACCATCGTGCTTCTGCAATAAGCTCTTTAAACAGCAGTTTTCTTCTGAATTTCACAGTAATCCCCTATGAGGGCAACTGAGAAAAACCTAAACCTCTGATAAAATCTACAGGGTTGTATTCATGTTATCTACCTAAATAGTTACTTTTCCACTGGAAAGCTTTCTTTCTTACTCTGCAGGCAGGTCTAGCACTAGGCAGGGGCTTTTGTAACACAGGTAACACAGCCTGTTCCCAGGAGTGACACCACAGCACTGAGACTGTTTTCCAGCTTTTCTGACTATGCGGGACCCCAGCTCCTTGCTTTAAGCCGTCACACCTCTCACCTAGGAAGGAAAATTGGCTTTACCCAAACGCCCAGGAGTTGCCTCCTGCCTAGAAAGTGGCTACTGAAACCCCTCCTGAGAAACCCAACCAGAGGCACCAGAGGGGAGCCCAGCGCCAGCTCCATGCCCCAGAACGAGGGTGAACCTTGAGAGCTGCTTCTGTTCCAGTAGAAGGAAACTGGCCACAGAGATTAACACGGCTGCAGTGCTGGCCGTGCTCATGGACCCACAGGAGCAGACAGCACCTGGGTCCACAGGATTTGGAGCCAACGAGCATAAGAGATGTGGACCATGACACTAGAAATGACACTTGAGGGTTTTATTAGTTGTTCTGCAGAATCAAAGTATTTAGTAAATTACTTTAAAGATTCCTCAGACTGCTGATATTTTATGTATTTAGAACTTGAACAATGTACAATGTAATACAGCTGGTACTCCCAAAAACAACCCCAAACCTGATTTCTAGTGCTAGATGTTATGTATTTGTATAGGAGTGTGGAGAATAGAACTAATGCAGTGAGTATATTTTTTTTCCTCAAGGAAAGTGCTTAAAAGAAACCTCCTGCTTCACACTGAATATTACTTAAAACAAAGCATAACTGACTTCCTAGCAGGACATTTCCTTAAATAACCTACAAACCTGGCGGTTATAAATACTGAGCCCCAGCTCTTCACCTTCTGGTTCAAAAACTGACACAAGCTGCAGGTCCAGGTAGAGTTCACAGCTTACCTGTTTCAAGAGAACTTACACACCACTCAGCATTGGATGCCTATGTCTGGCAGAAGTGTTGGATGCATGGGTCAAAAAAAATGAAAAAAAAACACACAGGAAGAGGAACAGCTTCTCTTTTTATGCACAGCAACAGTTTCTGAACCAGTGTTTTACTAAGTTACAGACTAGCTTCCAACCAAAAAATAAAACTCCATTGCACTAAAGGTCAAATGTCGCCAGTTAATCTGGACTGTGACAGTCAAGTAATGATTCAGTACAAGCGGACACCATGAAAGCAGCTTTAAAGAACCAAATCATCCTAGTTTCAAAACCAACTTCATATTCTTCTGTCCAACTCCAGTGCAACAGTAGGGGGGAAAAAACCCACTCCTGTCTCTGCCTATATACAATTCCAGTAGAGGTCAGACAGTCTAAACTCTCCGTGGCCAAGCTGGAAAAAGGAAACTTAGGAAAGGGCACTTAAAAATTTTAATTTAAGAAAAAAAGTTGGCTCTCAGTTGAAAAATGCTGTAGTAATGCACACAGGCAGGCTTGCTAAGTCCTCTCCCGTGGATGTGATAAGCTGGACTCCTTCCTGGCGAGAGCAAGTCACGCTGGAGGTGGAGGTGTCGGGGCTGCTCCTGCTCCTCTGCACGCCGAGAACCCAGGGATGCGTTTTCAGCTGGCTCCTGCGCGAGCCACAAGTTCTTCCAAAGCGTTGTGTTGGTCATTGTCATGTAATAATAAGACCTCCTTAATGTCATTTAGTTCAAAGCCCATTTCTTTAAACTGACTCATTAGCTTGAGAAGTTGTGTGGTCTGAAAAAGAAACACAGACAGTTATTTGCAAGACAGAAGAGGACTAAGGCCCGGGTAAGTTCAAGAATGGTGGGTAGGCATGGGGGTGTCTGGGGGAGTTGGGTTGCACCTCTGAAGATCTAATACTCTATCTCAGCACACAACAAGCTGACACACACCAGAGCAAGCAGCCTTACTGTCCTCTGTCCTGCTCCTGCCACCTGTTCCTGCCTCTGCACCTCTGGTGCTGAATAGCCACACAGGGAACCAGCCCCCCAAAAGTCATTTTTCTAACTTCTTCCATACTTCTTTCCTGATTTGCTGTGCAGCATTTCAGTGCATCTGTCCTGGAAAATCATGGCTGGGGCAGATGGGGCAAACAGGGTTCTGAAAGCAATTTACTGCTTCTGAAATTAAGTGTCTCTATACTAAGCACAAGTAGAGTAGGGGACCAAAACGACAGCCAGCCTTTATGGGGCCCTGTCCCCATACAAATGGACTCCAGTGAGAACAATGGAAAACAACATTATGCAGAATGTGTCTAACACTTTAACATGTATTCCCTTCTCAGCACAAGGATGCTGAGTGAAAAGGCAGCACTGCTGTGAAGTCAAAGCTGCATCAGCTATTTTAGAGGAACTGTTGCTGGAATTCCCCTTCACGGTGCAGTTTCACTGTTGTTGAGCATATAGTGTCCTCACCTTCTCTCCTGAAGACTGGTGCATTTCCAAAGCTGCTTCAACAAGAAGCGGATCAAAACCCTTCTCACAAAGCTGTCCATGTGCAAACAGGTAATCCAAAACCTGTGGAGAACAAGAGAAAGAACCTCAGTTTTCAGAGTGACCTTTTCATATCATCATCAGTTCATACCATCTCTGCATGCAGAAGAGCTAAGCATGAGACTACCCCAGGCTTCACTAGGGACTAAAACAAAGGTTTTTTTCTAGTAGAGCTGAGACGTTCTTTACATGACAGCCTGTTCAGAGAAAATGAACAGGTTTTGGGGACTTTTTACGCTCTCCTACCAGCTCTGAACTTCTCTTTCCGCTCAAGTCAAAACGATCTTCAAAAAGTCTAACTTTAGCTTTCTGCTCCTGATCGCTGAGCAGAAGGCAGAAGTTAAAGATAAACAGTGCTTCAACACTGCTGTTTCCGAAATGACACCGTTGGTGCTGCAATCAAGGTAAAGCAGCTTTTGAACAGTCTCCTCTTGGATATCTCCAAGGGCTAATGCAGCTGGGAATTCAGCAGCCTTTTAAGATCAACTCAGTAGACTGTTGAGTTACCTGCAAATCCCAGCTCTCACAGGAAGAGCCGACAAATTTCTTATCCATTCTCAGCTTTGAGAGGTATAGGTAAGGGTTACATGGGCAAGACAAGGGTAATGCTAAGTATATAGGGGAACACAGCCTGGAAACACATCAGGAATTAAAATTCCTGAGCCCTCCAAAGGCAGGTGCCTTCCATTTAGTGCTACAGTTCACTTCAATGCAATGTTTAAGCAGATTCACAACCGGTAGACAAGGCAGAGCAGCTCCACAGGTAGGCAAATTTTGTCTGGAACAAGAACATCCAGGACATGACTCGTTTCCCCAGCTATCTACGCAGTCCAGCGAGGGAGTGCTCTGAGCAAAGCACAGCAACCATCGGGTCAGTGTGGAAAGTCTAGCCAAGTTCTCCTCATTTTGAGCTTGTTTTTGTTTGAGGCCAAGCCAAGATCCAGAGCCATGTTTCACACTGCAGCACTGCAACTCTGACCTGGTTTTACCAAGCATTTGAGGCAACATTTGGGGCAGGAAGCACCGCAGTCACAGCCCAGTCACCACAGCCTTGCAAGAGCCTTGCACGACTGAATGAAGCCTGCAGGGACCAGCCCCGCTAGGGAAGGGGAGCACAGCACAGGAACTGCTTGAGATCAGAAGAGAGGAGCTGTTTTTGTCAAACAGCACAGAGCAAGGAATGGCACCAAGCACCATGCTCTGTGGCTCTTGAGAAGACGAAGTCTCTCTCCCAGCCTCACGTGGAGCTGACAGCCTGTCCCATCCTCTGATGTAGCACCTGAAGAGTGGCTGCCATAGGCAGAACCTCAACAGAGGCTTCTTGGGAGGGGACGGGGCTCTCAGGAACACGACTCCAGAGCTGAACACCTCAGCAGCCAAGAGCTGTAGGCCAGCGTTAGAGCCCAAGCTCCCCCCTGCCCAAAAGAATCACCATCTGCCCTGTTCCCACCTGGTCTATGTTCTGTCCCTTCTTCTTCATGGCTTTCAAGACGTTCTCGGGCGAGTAGCCCATGTTGACAACTGTCTCGATGCACTGCCTCTCGCTGGCAGAGAGGGCCTGCAGCAGCTCGGGAGCGGGGCCACCGGGCCGCTTTGTGCAGCTGGTGTTATTGGGCACTTTAGACACTGCAAGATTTTGGTGTGTTACCTACAGGGCAAAGAAAAAGGGAAAAACAAACCGGATTAGGTGATTACAGAATCAGAGAATGGTTGAAGTTGGAAGGGACCTCTAGAGATCATCTAGTCCAACCCGCCTGCTCCAGCCGGGACACCTAGAGCACGTGGCACAGGGTCACATACAGGTGGGTTTGGAAGATCTCCAGAGAAGGAGACTCTGCCACCTCTCTAGGCAGCCTGTTCCAGGGCTCTGTCATCCTCACAGTAAAGTTCCTCCTCACATGGAGATGGAACTTCCTGTGTTTCAATTTGTACCCATCACTCCTTGTCCTGTCACTGGCCACCACGTGATGGTTACCTATTCCAGTGTCCCTATGTGCTTCCAGCTAACACAGAACCAGGGTACTCCACATCTGCAGCTTGAGTCATTTTAATAAATAGTTAACTGAAAACTCTCTATTGGGAAGTTGTGTGTATAGGCTGACTCTCACCACCTTTCCACTTTCAAAATCACCTCAAACCACCCAGATTCCTCTCAATAATCTCCTTCTACCGCTAGACTGAATTCTTCAATACGATTCCCAATGTTTGCAACAGCAGGAGCTGTTACAGATTTGGGTTTGATAGGTTTCATACAGGAAAACCCTGTAGCTCAGAGGGAAGCATGCAGATGCTCCCTTCCCCAAAGCCAGCTTACCTGTCACCCATAACTTCTTGCACTCAAATGGAGTATTGCTTTAGAAAGCACTTCAGGACATTTTAGAAATGCAACACAGTGCAAGCAGACAGAGAACTTACCACAGGGATTTCTGTTTCTTTGTAGTCTGAGTGTACCTGTTGGGCAAGACATGAGGAATATGATGAGCACAAGGCACCTGTGAGCAGTGTTTGTTACGGCCAGGAGAAGAGCTCTAGGGAGGACGAGCTGCAGCTGAGCCTGCCGTACGAGCAAGACTTGTGCTGTGATTGACCTTCCCCATCTTGGAGATGCAGCAGCTGTGCACAGCTACAGAACTCCGGTCCTGAGGAACATCTGTCATTACCTCTTCTCTTTGTATTCTGCAAATGGATTATACTCCCAGGGGAACGCTTTTCCCTCCCCACAATAACTGTAAATGAGTTCATGTTGTCCCTGTGAAAGCTACCAATTCCTTCGGCTCTAACACACCAGCTCCTGCTCAGTTCCCAGCTTTGTGGCTTGCTGCCTAACTGACAGTGATCAGTTTTGAAGTCATGAGCTGGAAGCTTCTTTTGACTTTGATGATGAGAACAGATAAGGGGAAACCTACAGCCCCATTTCCCTCTTTCTCCTCTCAAAGCTGTGTAGTGCATAGGCCATAGGCAAGCGAGGCAGCACACTGGCTAAGACCAGCGTGGGATTTCTAAACCAACATCCTCTCAGCGTTTCACCCCATGCCCAGTATATCCCAGGAGGCAAGGCCCATCTGTGATGGTAAAGCTTTATAATTTCCCTCAGTAAGCCTTCCACTGGGTTGGAAGGGACCTTCTTTCAGCTCTGAGCTCCTTTCTAAGCGCAGTTTCTCCCTGAAGGTTGGCAGCCTAACCCATGCCAGAGCAATTCTGAACTTTAGTATTTAAAAATCATCGTTTAGTTCCTTACCAGCATTTGCTGCTAAGTCCCACAGGGCTTTGTGCACATATGTGCCTGCTCCTAACCGTGCTAGCACATCTAAAGAAGCATCTCCCAGAAAATCTCACTTTCCTCAGATCCAAGCTTGTCGGCTACTTCAGCTTCCCCACGAACTGCAGCCAAGATTCTCACTGGGTTTGCAACATGAAAAGCTAAACCAAACAGTGAATAAAAGCGCTTCGCCATAACCAAACCTGCACGGTTCACACCAACCACTTCAAGTCTCCCTGCATTTTAAGTGGAAGCAAGAAAATCAACAATAAATCATTTCGACAGAACAGCCTCAATTTATTTCCTCTCTCCCATATATATATATATGCATAGTTTAAGTCACTATGGATTGAAAGCAGAAGACAAGCTTTCAAACAGAACAGCTTTTTTGGTTGAGGGTGAGGAAGCAGGGAAGAGACCACAAAAAGCGTTTTTATATAAAAATATATATATACACACACACACACATATATACATATATATAATAAAAAATCAGTAGCTGTTCTATTAAGAGTTTGGCAAGTTTCCTTCACCTGGAAAGAGGGAGGAGTTGTCCTGCATTTCTGCCCATTTCCACCTGCAGGCTAAGAATGTCTCTTCTAGGAGGCAAAGCTGGAGGAGTTGCTTGCAGCCCGAAGGCTTGGTTACTCAAACTCTTCTCATGGGTGATAAGGAGCTCCCTGCAGTTGTGCACATCTTGTCCAGGCTTTCCCCAGAGCAAGCAGCACAGGGTAAGTGTCTAGAGCCCTGAAGTCAGTTGCTTATCGGTTTGCCTGAACCGAGGATGCTCTGTTCTCTGCTTCCAGTGTCAGAAGCAGCTTTTGGCTCTTCTAGCTGCGACTCAGTGTCAGGGGACGAGGGAGAAGCAGACTCTTCCCATGAGCTGCCGCAGCTTTAGCAGCCGGTCACGGGAAGGAGCTCGGTTTCAGCGGTGCGCTCAGCAGCACTGCAGCAGGGCTCCAGAAACCGGAGCTCATGCAGGGATGGGACCCCAAACTCCAAGGGGAGAGGACAACCCGGAAGGCAGTCATGCAGCATTAGGTTCACCAAAATTCTCAGGTTTATTTGTACCCAAGAAATCCTATATTCAATTCCCTGATAAAGCATAAGATTAGAAAGCAACTCCAAACCCAAACAGCTGCTGCTGGGGATCCTGGTGAGAAAAAAATTATCAGCCTGGAATACTTGGGAATAACACTGTCCTGAGGCTTTCCGGAAATGGCCAGGCTTATTTTGAATAACTTGGCACAGAAACAACGCATGACCTTTCTGCTCAAGGAGGCCACAAGGATCCCACCAAAACCCTTCTCTGTCATTTTTCAAACTCTGAGGATTTTGTTTCATGAAATTGCCATAAATGCAAATACAGCAACTTGGCTGTCATTTTCCAGCCACCAGGACAGGAAATAATGAGTATCCTGTGGAAATAATGAAATAAGTACTGGAAAAAGCACTGGAAATTAAACAGAGAAAAGCAGAACTAGCTCCATCCTCATACGCATTTGGTTGGGCTACTCCAAGCGAAAACAATTTCAATAAAGATACACTTCGCCTAGAAGATCCCCTTAATAAGATGTTTTTCTTAGTATTTACTTCAAGTTTTTAGTTTTATTGTTTTGCATCTTCCCTTAGAGCATCCTAGAAAATACAAGTTTCGTCTTTAACAGGCTTTAATCTAGCAGAGATTTAAATAACTAGTTTGAAAGTTTGACCATCTTAAAGCCCAACTATTTGGTTTTATACAATATTGTACATTCATCCCCAGAGACATGGGATACTTGGAAGTTTTTATCTCTGAGCCACATATGGTGATACAATAATTTCTCAAACCTGTTTTGTAATAGTGAGCAGTTGCTCAATATGCTGCAAATTACTTCTGCCAGCAGTTCACTATGTTAAATACTTGTTTTAATGACCAATAGTTATTCTGATGTGCTAGGAATAGACTAATTACATTATTAATTGAGATATAAGATTTTTGGCATTTACTAAAGCCTGAACTGAGGCTACAGAACCACATGAATGAAGCACTATCACTTTACAGCATAGGGTATCATATAAAAGCCTACTGTATGTGAAAAAGAGCATAGCACAAGCAATGCAGTGCTTTTATTGAAGAGAAGCTGCCTCTCACTTCCTCAAATTTACAAGTCATCCAGAGGATTTGCAGTTTCCAGTGGTTTTCATAAGTATTAGTGTCCAAAACTGCAGGTTTCCTCAAATCTAGACTCTCATCCATAAAGCAGCAACAGCCCCTATGAAGCTAAAATGCCTCCTAAGTAACGGCTGAACGTGCTACAAGCTCAAGAGAACACAGTGCTACACTCCTGTATCAGGGCAATATGGAAACCAATTATTTTAATAATTTTAGGTTTGCTTCAGGAGTGCTTTTGGCATCCACAGAGCAACTCTTTCACATTCCCTCACCAGGCAGAGGGCTAGTATCAGATTCAGGCCAGAACTATTCTTTCACTTCTAAAGGCTATGTTCTTTAAAGGATCTAGAGCAAGAAAAAGAACAATTCCTTTGTTGCAGATCAACTGCTAGCACTATTTTCTTAGCTGAAAGCAGCAGAGAACAAGTGTGACAGCTTTTTATCTGTTATTGCTAGTCCTTGCAAAGGCTGCAATTCTCATCATTTCCAGCAATTGAATAAGCAACTCAGAAACACACCCAAGAAGAGCTATTTTGCACATTAATTTCCTGCACTTAGACTCAAAACCTAGAAAAAGTTTAGAATGATTCATCTCTGCAGCCCAAGACAGAATGAAAGGTTGTGCAAAGGAGTCTAACCACTCTTAGCACACAGGTGGACAGCCCTCAGCTTGCCGAAAGTGGCAGGTGAGGGAACTACAAAAAAAACTGAATTCTGGGGGGGTTGAAAAAGTACTGCAAAGGAATAGTTCAAGGATCACAATTCTCAGCTTAAAGACTTACTGGACTGATCTGCTTACAGTTAAATGGAGAGACACTGCTGCATTTTCTGTTCTGTCTACACATCACTCATTAATGAAACTAAAAATTAAGCCACAAGACATTTTAGAAGCCAATCTGCCTGCACACATCCCTCCAGTCAATGCAAACGTAATGAAATGAATGTTTTACCGATGTTGCTGTGCTTTGAGATGATGATTCTTCTTCTGTACAAACTGTGGACACAGCCAGAGAAGGCAGCCTGGATGAAGAGGACAATGCTGATGTCTCCATGCCACTTGGAGCAGAAAGACCAACCATATGGTGTCCATTCAGTTCACTAGCTTTACTCTGAGCACAGGTCTGCAAAGAGCTCAGAAAAGTGCCATTGCGGAGACAGGTAGTGCTGTGGAAAGTGCTCGTGAGCTTTGATGATTTTTGATCACTCTCATCAGAGTCAAGTTTAGGAAAGGATAGGGATTTGATATTGCTCACTGCAGTGATAGGGGACAGGGACACTTTGGAAGACAAGGACATCTTTTCACAGTTTCCCAACTGTGGTAAAGTGATAAAGCCATTGGGTTTGTGAAGGGGCTTGAAGTCCAATGCGGCTCTTTCTATGGACGCCAGAACTTCTTGATCTTCTAACACAGATTCTGGCCCTCCTTTAGGCAAACTACTGTCTAATAACTGAGCAACAATCGGCCCCGTAGTACCAACGTGAATTTCAAGAATGTTTTTTAATTCCTCCTTCTCATCAATAGTTTTTAATTCCAGTTTGTCAAATGGGTCTTCTTCACATTCAAAATCGGCCGGGTTGAAATCTGCTTTTGGACAAGGTGGACTAAGAATCTTTTGCTTCACAGCACTGCTGTCAGCTGGTGTGGGAGTAAGAATATTATTGTGCAGCAGCCCAGCGAGGATGGGGTTAATAGGAGGCAGCATGGCCTTAGGACATGGTCCTTCTGATAACCCCCTTTTATTGCTGTCTTCTGAAGCAGCCTTCGACTTAGCTCTCGCTTCTTTTACCTTTTGTTCAACTTCTCTCTCGACAGCTTGAATTTTTCTGATATTTTCAGCCCAATCAAATGTTTTCTTTTCCAGTGAGAAATCATACTGACAAGAAGAAAAAAGAAAAATTGTAAGGATCATAGCTACTCTTTTGAAAAGTAACATAAGAAATAACAGCTGCATGAATTACCAGTTATTTATCTGGGGAGGCATTTCCCTCCCCCCTCCACAGTATATCTTTTAACTTACAGACTGGCAGAACCAGCAGTCACTGGACCACTTCCTTTTGTCTCCAGCAAGCAAGCCTAACTGTGGCTCGGAGCAGTGTGCCACGTTTTGCCTCCTTCCTGTATCTAGTTTTGCTCTAGAGTTACTGATTGTCACAAAAACAGTTTTATAACACCCACTCCCACAGAAAACAGATGTATGAAGTGGAAAACAAGTGTATTACTAGAGGGACAGTTTTACTCTGAGCACAACCAAACTACGCCCTGTCCACAGACTCCACAAGTCATTCAGGGCTACACTAGAAAAAAACTTGCTTCTGAAAAACAACTACTCAATTCCTCTCCAGGATCTGTAAGGGACTTCCCATGAGCATTTTACACCCATTTGTTGAAGAGGTATCAACATTCTTTCACAAATAGTAATCATTAATATGATGACTACCTGCCATAGCTGATTTTGTCACTATTATTAGCAGGACAGCTTCTCACAAGCTTTCCTCATTTTAACATCAGCTTCTTAAGGGTCAGATTAGCGCAGAAAGACATTTTTATAAGCTGCCTGCTATCAGTTTGCTAGCCAGTAAACAGCGACTCGTTTGAGAGAGGACAAAATTCTGAATAAACTATATCTGTTTAAAGCTTTAACAACTTAGGAAGAACATACAGTTTTAATGTCCTTCAAAAATCACAGCTTGTTTGGAGAACACGGCCTCCAAGCTAAGTTCAGGGCGTAACCTACCTGTGACTCACAAGAAGTTTAAGCGCAACTTCCTTGCCAGGATAACGTCATACAGTCAAAACAGTAGTGTTCTTGCCACGGGGCTGATAGGGAATCGAAATTCCCAGCTCTAAAGAAGAACTAGCCAGCAAATTTGCTAGGCCCATGACAGGTTTTTTGGAGACTCACTATGTGTCCTGAAAAGTCTCAGGCTGTAGTGGGTTCCAGCGAGACACCTCAGATATGTTACCCCAGTGTATATAACCCAGCTTCCCTCTGCAGTCTCCAAGAGTGGGAAACAACACATATTTCCTCAGCAAGATGATTTGGAAACATGACAGTGGGACACTACTCATTACACGTTCCTGGATACCTAAACAGCTACCAGAGGAGTGTGTGTATATAAATAGAGCACTGAGCTTGGGTCAATTTTGCTTCCCTGCACTATTTTTTGTTTCTGTTTCTACTGCTGTAAAAACAGTCAGTCAAGACAGGGAGGCACAGCCTACATAGTCACATCATGCAAGACACTGTGGTCTCGCTGGGCATGCTGTATTTGAGCCCTGTTAGCTTGGCAAAGAAAGGGAGACACAGCTGGAAGTAAGCAAAAGACACAGAAGTTGCCCCTTTAGCACTTCTGTACCAGCTTAACTACATGAAAATATGAAGATCAGGCAATGGATTAATGGTAACAGTGAAAAAAGCAATAATCTAGCAAATTTCAGGGACTCAGCTCTTCAGTGGACAAGCTGCAGGGCAAAACAAGCAGAAGAGGTTACAAACAGTCAGAGCTGGTGTGAAAAATACTGTCAGTTCGGACTGACCAAGGTGCATCACAGATCCAAATGAAAAACCACAGGTCAGATATTACATTTCAATCATCAGGCCTAAGCAATTGAGTTTATGCTACCAGAAGCTTAGGGCAACAGATCCCTATCCTTGGAAGCAACCTAATATGCTCTATCAGGTTTGCCATATGGCTAGACAAAACGGCCCATTGCACAGAGCTTAAGAACCAGACACTTCTCTCTTATCTTTATCCCTTGAGAAGGGGATTCCATGAAATATTGTCATAAAGACGTAATATCTGTTACTCAAATGGGATTTTGCAAATGTGCCATTGCATAGGTACTCAAGTTTTTACAGTTTCTCTTCAAAAACACTACTCCCATTTAGGAATGTCAGGGGCAAGATCTAGACCTTTAACTACTGCACAAAAAAAAATTGTGCTTTGTGAAGTACATAAACTTTATGTTGTTTTTTCATAACTGTCGTTTTAAAATGTCTATGTGGTTTATTTTTCCACACGTTCTAGCAGATTCTGTAACTTCTCTGGCATAACACCTGGCACTATAGCACAGTTGAGACTAACTTCTGAATACTAAACTTCTTGTGACTTACAGCATCATGTTGGCAACGGAATGGAGGAAATAGAGAGCAGAAAGGAGAAAAACAACCTCCCCCCCGCCCCCAAAAAAACCCCACAAAGCAACAAAATACTTACCTGAGAATCTCTGATAAGCTGAGGAGAATCAGGAAGGCAGAAACCAATGGGTAATCCAACTTTAGCTGGGGTTTTGAATTTGTCTCCTATCTTAAATGGGACATCATCAAGATAACTGAAGGGACCTGAGATCCAAAGCAGAAATTACATCACAAGTTTGCATAATGCATTCAACTGAGACTCACATTTCTGTATCTGGGAGCTATTTAATCTGTGTAAAGCTAGCTGTACCAGGTATCTAAGTAAAGAGGAAGTTACTTTATTAGAAACACATTGAAAACATTTTGATTTTGCTGTTGCAGTTGTTTCTTTCCCTTTTTAATATAAATTTAGGCCATCATTACATTTTTGGGACAGATCTTAAAGCTAGTACTCTACCATTAGTGTCTCTTGTGACAAGACACTGACTACACAATGGAAATTAAAGCTCTTCTGAAAAGATAGATTTCATGTGTCTAAAACAAGATCAATAACATTCCAAATAGGCCTAAATCCAACCCATCTCTAGAGCAGCAAAGAAACTAAAGTCTGTCTTCTTCCCATATGTGGAAAATAATATTTGGTCAAAACTGCTTGCAAGGAGGCAAAGTAGGCCAAAAGAAGCCCCACTGTAATCAAAACGCAGTGAAACAGCTTAAGACTATTTAACTTAGCAATTCGGATTTCTAGAGAAAAAAAAAAAAAAAACACACACACACACAAACAAACAAGAAAAACGGCACATACACACACACAGAGCACAAAAAGCCCTCCAGTCTAACAACCAGGTGCCTTGTTTGCGACCACTCTGATAAGGGGCCACAGACATAAGTGGTCCCCATATTTCATGGTCCTCTATCTGTCCTTTGTATCCATGACATTCATGGAGCATTTAAAGTTTAAGACAGAAAATATTTCTTCAGGCATCCTGCAAACTTGTAAGGATCACAAGAATTCATTTCCCTTGAATAAGACAGGCTATAGGCTTGTTTTCCCTTCAGACTTTATTTCAAATTTAAATTTAAAGGTGTCTCTTCGGTCACTGGTTGAAGCTTTCACAGTTACTAGTGAGATTTCTGGCTGGATGTGTAGAAGCTTGGAGTGTTCCTCAAGTATCTGCTTACTAGTTTGCTTTGGTTGTTCCAGATCCAGCAAGACATCAGTGGTAATGTTTTAGGTGTTGCTCAGTGACTAACCTCTGCTCTGTGAGCCATGATTGTCATTTTTAACTGACCCATTTTCATACTTAGGCAACAGCTTAAATACTATTTGTGTTCTTTTGCTGTTGACTCATCTACAATAACGCAGCCACAAGCTCTAAGAGGAAGAGCAGCTTTCAAAAACAGGAACATCTTATTAGTTTGGAGTTAAACGCTCATGCGTTGTCATCAGCTGAGCTCATTGGCAGCCAGCACCACTATTGCAGCACAACATCCAAAGAAAACACACTGCAGCTGGCAATTTAAGAATACTTGAGTAATTTCAGGGTGTTTGCTTATGCAGAAATAGCAAATGTGTCAGCCTTTGCACTGGCACATCAGAGCCTGGAGAGGAACTGATCTCCACTGCTTGGAGGTGTCCAGCCTGGCTGCTGATCCTGCATCCTCCCTGGTCCTAGTCTGGATGTAACCAGGACTATCGAAGAACGTGAATGAAACAGAATCATCTCTCCCCACCAGCCTCAGAAGAGCAGGAAGGGCTCAGTACACAAGAACATGTCCTGCTACACCTACAAGATGAGGAGGAAACCACCTCATCCTACCCAGCTTTCCCATTTGTCTTGGGGGACACTAACCCAAGGGACATGCACACAACCTCTGGACTAGATGGGCTGAATTGAAGGCTGCCAGTTTAACGTCAGTTTAACATGAGCTAAGGAATAGAGACTGCAAGTGCTTCTCAGGATAATGATTTTCTGATAGTGACTAGTACTATAACCTCGTATTGAAGAAAACTCTGCTACTGCAAGCACATTGGTAGAAAGCTTTTCTGAATATCCATTTTGTTCCAGACTAACAACCAAAAGAATCCTAGTTAAAATTAAAATCTGATCCAAGAAAGCAATAAATCTATGTTTTTTTTTTTTATAGAAGGATAACATTTCTGCCTGCACAAATCTAATGGGGAAGGGCACAAGCTTTGCTTTATGCTGTTTAAACAAAGCCCACATATAAAGTATCATGCAAAACAGTGTTTTAATGGTCACATGCTCAAACGAAGCAATTATAGCTCAAAAAATCCTGTTACTTAATATGGCTATTAGCTATTTCATCTTTTTTATGGACTTAAAAGTACTTATGGACTTACTGTGGAAGGTCTGAGAACAGCCCTGGCAAAACTGTACCTGCCAAACTGATCTACGATGTAGTGTATGATATTCCTGGCCCAAGGAATAACTAGAGGAGATTAAATTTCTCTCCATTCTAGCGTAATGCAGTAATCATCAGCCACCTAGTAGAACCATTCTCCATTTTGACAGCATATTGAAAATAATTCAGATCAAGACAGTTACCAGTTATCACCGGGTAACAGTTTGAAACTTTTAACTTCCAGAAAGTGGGATCAAAAGCTTTCAAACTGTACAGCAGTACTGAGAATACAACTGTAATCTTGCACTGCAGTTGATATATCCTTTGCACACCAGGTGAAAGCTGCATTTCTAGATGCCACTGATTATTAGAACCGAGTCCTGAACTTCCTATTAAAGTGATGGGACAGCACTTGAAGCTAAGACAGCTAAGACCACTCTCCAAGAAAGGAAAGGGTTTCCTTCCTTTCCAGCTGCAGCTCCCGTCTTCACCTCAACAGCAATACAACAAATAGCAAAAACAACAGTAAATGTGAGGAATATATTAGCTATGTCAACCCACTTCCATCAGCTTGTCAGAGCTACTAAGCTAGAAGGTAGCTCTTTATACTTTACATTAAGCTGAATTTCAGTTAGTGGGATTGATTCTTACTGATCCTGAAGGATTGTCCTGGTCATTTTTAGAGACATAACAAGCCAAGGAATTTGCTTCACTGCTGCTAACAAACTACTGCCAGCAATAGCTCTGCTGATATCATTAGGAACAGAGGGTACACAACAGCGTAGATACGGTTAGCTGGTGAGGTTACAGCATCATTTCTTCTGATTATTTTGCTGCCCAGGGCATGTTCCAATACACTGTACTGTTCTAAGAAACATTTAAGGCAGGTTGATTTGTAGCTCTGAGCAGTGCCTATACTAGCCTGCTTTAGGAAGCAGAGAAGTGCAAGCAGGCTCCAAGATTAGCAGGTTAGAGCATTCACAGAGACTGTTCACACACACGAGAGAATAACTGCTTAACAGCTGGCAGCCACCTAAGGACTTGCTCCTCTGACAGGACTACTGGTCCAGAACAAGGGAGGCCATCTAAAAATCAAGTTTCCATGGACCATTTTTATGAATTCTTGGTCACACACCTAAATCAGGCATTCCTTACTCTATGTACTTTACACTTACAAGTGCTTTATACTTGCAAGAATGAACAAAAAACCCTGAATAGCAAAGCTCAGGGCAAAGGGAATGCTTTGGGACTCTCTTATGTGAAAGATAATCCAAACAGATCAAGTTCGAGTTTCTAAAAGCAGAAATCCCTGTGGCATTTAGAGTCACATTAGGAATTTCACAGGAACCTACCAATACAGCCTTAAATAAGTGATTTGAAGACACTGCATTACATATGTGCAATAAATCACTTCAGCGTTCCACAGAAATACTAGTCCTTCCAGATTTATACCCCATTTTCTAAAAGATAATTGTAGAGAAACAAGTAATTCATATGGCAACAGCTCACTGCAGAAAGTTATATACCCCAAATGCTGGAAGAATTCAACCTCAAGGAATTTCTTTTCTTCACCCACCTAACTGCAAACTACTGAAACAGATCAAGTCCAGCTACTGAGATACAGTCCAAACTTGCCAAAAAAATCACTGCTAAGCAAAAAGCAACTATGACTCAGTGATATAATATAAGCTTTCCTTTAATCCAGTTTCTCACTTGACTTCCATAGAAAGGAACTGCAAGTCTCATGTCTGCCTCAATAAACGTCAGATGGGTATCACAATCGCAGTTCAGCTTTGATTTTGGAGGGAGAAGGGGGAGATGCTGTTTTGCCATAAGTGGGGAAACCAGCCACAGGCATAGCAGCCTAATGAGAGCACGGCCACAGCATCAGCACTGCAAGCAACCATGAAAAATAGGAATTCAAAGCAGTTCAGCCTCCAAGTGGATTGTTAGGAATGAAGAAAGTTGTCTCTATTACTCTCTGGCCCTGGGACGTTAGTCAAAAGCAATATAATACTAATGTTCATCCTTTTGAATAGAAAATGGATACCAAGTTTCACTTACCATGAGAATCGGATCCCAGTTTCTTAGAAGCCATTTAGAACCTGAAAAACATTTCCAAACAGCTTCAATAACTTTAAAATGTGCAGCACAGCATAATTCTCTACAGTTCTAAAGTCTTAACTCTAAATTTAGAGTCAGTTCACTTCAGATACTTTTTCTACTTATCCTTTTCCTAAATTACACAGGCAAACTCATAACTCCAAGAAACAATTGACAAAACAGATAACTTGGTGCAGCGTCTGAATGTAAATGACAGAAGACAAGAACCACTGGGTGGGTATGGAAAGCACAGAGGGAGTTCTAGATTTCTGAGCTTACTGAGCCCATTCCTACCAAGCCCCAACTAAGCACCTTCTGCCTTCCCTGGAATTAAGAAAAGCTCTTCCTACTGGAAATACCACACTGATCCTCTTCAGTTTAATCTGTCTTGATCTAAAAGATATACCATGGTATCGAGTGTGCACAGTGAGCCAGCACTGCACTTGTCTAGATGCACTGGAAAACATATGGATTGGTACCACTTGAGAAGAACTCAGCCAAAGCGCAGAAGCTTCTCAGCACACACAAGCAAAAGCAAAACCAACAACAGTTAGCATCCATTGCCCATGCAATTTTACCAATAACTTCTTTAATCAGAGAAATCAAAGCAAATATTCCAAGGCTAAGATGTTAAGCGTGGGAATGAGCATCTATGCAGCTCTTAAACACCAAGCAGGACTGTCTTGAGGGGACAGCTTTGTAGAACAGGCTACAGTGTTTTAGAGCTGACTGATCATCTAATACTCTGCTCCAGGATGTTTGCAATATGGTCAGCAATGCAGTGGTTTCTTTTGCTGCACATCACAAGATCTCCTTCTCAAAACACCCCAGCTTAATTCTTTAAATAACTGAATTTATAAGTTCTACTTCGACATTACACATGACCATGAATCAGAGTTGCCTTTTGTTCAGGAGCCCTCCAGCTGGTGGGCTGAAAGGCCCAGATGATGTTCTTCAAAACCATAAAGTTGTCTGGTACATCTACACCAGCAGCACACAGGGTTCACACCTAATTTGCAAGAGACCTGACATTCACACCCATCATTCCCCAAGTGAAGTCTTAGTCTTCCTCCTCAGTGTTTCCATTGAAGAAACAACTGCAAAGCTCATTTTAAAGAAAGGGTGTCAAAAGGCTGGGATTACACAGAGTTTTCTAGCTCCCATACCTCCCATTCCTCCTACCAGCAGCTGACATGTTTGGGAAGCGTAAGGGGCAAGAAAAGTTAATTTCAAGTATTTTGGGGGAGCCTCTGCAGATGGGCACACATCCTTTCAACATTAAAAGAAAAAGCGAGTCAATGCTAATGGGATTCAACACACTGATAAAATCGAATCTGTAATAGGAAGATAATCCTGGTGAAAACCTCCCCAAACACTGCAATCTGACAGGAGGCTACGGTGAGTGGGTCACACTGGGCAACTCCACCATTCCTTAGTCATAAATCCTTGTGCCATTTTGCAATGTTCATCAGGTTCTCAGCACACCTGATCACCTCTCTCAGTGTGGTTGTATTTCCAGAAACATGACAGTAAGTCAGAGAACCAGTTTTGGCCCTAGCGGGTGATGGCTCCTCTCATGGGAGGAAGGTCTTGCAGCTCCAAAGGCAGCAGAGAAATTAGGTCAAACAGCACAGGCAAATGTGCCTCGCGAAGAGCACTCCTGCGGGCTGGCAAGGGCAGGGCCACGAAGCGCAGAGCAAGTGAGGCTGGACAACATCTCTGGAGATCGTTTAGTCCAATCCCCTGCTCGAGCAGGGTCATCTAGAGCATATTTCACATGCATGTCCATGGAGGTCTCTGACATCCCCAGGGAAGACAACTCTACAAGTATGTCCTGTGGCTGCTTCTCCTCCACTGCTGTTGTGGAGACAAAGCAGGTGCAAGGCCTCTAGGCACGTTCCCAAACTCCTCAATTCTTATTCCTTCTAGTTACCTCTTTTTTGAAGTTGTAGGGTTTTTTGTTTGGTTGGTTGGTTTTGTTTTAGCTTTTTTTAATTTTGACAAAGGGGAGGTAACTAACTCCCTTATACCAGCAATCAAACTGACTGGATTTTTTTGTTGCGCAGCAGCAGTTATCTAGAGCCTCAATTACCAAAAGTAACTTAGTCCAGACTTCAGCAACATAAGGGACAATGCAAATTCAAAGATATAATTTGCAAAACAGCAATGTATATCCCCCTCTCCAGCAGGATGTAGTAGAGACATACTGAATTTACCGTCTCACACACTGACCTCAGCTAAAGGAACTCTGCACTACCAGGAAACTGCTAATTCCCTCTAGGGACATTAAAAGCAGGGTGCACACATCCTGTGAAGGCCAACATGCAAGTCAAGCATTCAGAGGATTTTGCGTTAATATAACCGTCTGAGGCTGAATAAAGTCTCAGATGTAACCTCACTGCTGAAAAAGTATCCCATATGAGCAAGAAGTGTCTTGATTTGGCTGGCAATACTGTATCAAAATCTTAAGTGGTCGCCTGGCACTTACTTACACTGACTGCAAGATACCCTATTTTAAACTACAGAACTAGCTAACACATTAATAGCAAAAACAACATGAGAATACACCTGTTCCAGGAAAAAAAAAAAAAGTCACACTTTAGGTTCAAACAGTATTCAAGCTCGAGGCCCAAGAGCTCTCCCTGATGTACTGGGAGCACACACTTATTAAGGAATCACAGAAAATACTGCAACAGGCTGCTATCCACATTTCGGCACCTCCTTTCCAAAGAGTGTTTAATAGCAAGTGATGTCTTTTGAACCTGATTAGTCAACAGGCTATTTGTGGACCTCTGAAAAGCATCTTGCTCTTGGTCTACCTGCCAGCTAGAAAAAAAGAAGTCTGCAGTCAGTTAAAAGTTTTAAGACTAATTTGGCTATGTTTCTAGGCCCAAGTAATATTTGCTTAGGCCTGCTACATTACACGATATGGACACACATTTGTTACCAGTCTTTGGAAACTTAAAGGACTGCTGAAAATGTCTTTTCCAAGATACTACACATTGTGGAGGCCAAGTACACAAAACTGAGGATGGATTCACTCACTGAAACTGCAGAAAGACTTGCATCACTTTCATGCTGCTTATTTTAAAATCAAGGAGTACTAATGACTCAATGGTGAATTCGAACAGTGGAAAGCATTCCGATTCAAGCATTTGGCTGATATATGACAGGTACTTCAGATTTAGGAAACATTTTCAAAGTTTGCCCTCAAACTACCTGTTTCAGCACAAGTCGGAGACTATGACTAACACCAGGATTCCACATATAGCCTCACACAAATACAGCTGCAGACCGCCTGCTGCTAAGATAACACAAGTTAAAATTCTCACATCAAACCTTCCCAGTGTAAGCATTCAATCCAAAGCATCCTTACATAGTTGAGACCTCTCAGAGCGTGCAAAAAGTCAATTACAAAGTTTAACACAAGGAAAATTCACATTTTGGTTACTGCAGTCTCCAAAGAGATGACACCACGCAGGAACCTGCAGCAGCTACTCTGCTTTGCACATTTAACAATTCTCCAAATCTGGAGCACATTCACCTAGCTGGCTACCTGGAGGTGATTACCTTTCTTACAGTACGATGACACTGAGCCACTGGTAACTGCTGTTTTAGTAAAGTCATTGTAAAAGTGGATTTGACATGTTGCAGCCACATCCCCTTCAGCAAAAAAGGCATCACTTTCACCAATTTGAACAAGGAAAAAAAACAACAAAATTACTTAGGTAATCTGTAGTAATCCCTTCAAGCACCATGCAATCCAGAGATAAAGCGGTGGCTCTATTGGAGAACCAGGGAACCTCAAGCAAATGAGACTATCACGGAACCTAACATGGACATGAAGGTCTCATTTGACTTTTAGTAGCCACTAGTTAAAACACATCTCCTGAAACGCCTTCATCTCACGCGATACAAGTACAACCAATCAGGCTACGTGTAACCAGTTTCAGGGTAGGCATCACAGTAGTGACAAGCGGAGGGTGGGAAGAAGGAAAGAGCTAGAGATGAAATATCCCCACTGCACACAACATGCACACATCAAAGTCTGGATCGCTGCCCTGGAACGCTGTTGGGGTTGTTTAAGACAAACTAAATTAATTTGATGCTTACAGACTGTGAAGTGACTGAGAGACAGTGGACCCAGAACCAGTAAGACAGTGGTTATTTAAAAGCATTTCTAGAATACACGAGGGGGAAGGACAAGGAGAAGAGTCTGTGCAGAGCAGGTCTACACACGTATCACGTTACTGGATTAGAGACACCACATTCTCTAATGATGCTGACAGCCCCTGTTATGGAGCCCTTCACGCAGATGCTGAATAGTCTTTCCAGCAGTGATGAGCATTAAGAGAAATGTGTTTCTCAAATGGTGCAGTTGCTTAATGTGACATAGCGCCCAGTTACATCCTCTGCTTCAGTATATACCAATCAGTGGGGAATTAAATTGGAAGACAGCTCTTCGACACTGTCTGAAAAGTGCTGCATCTCTCGCTCTGTTGTTCCATATAGATTCATTACAGTGAATCTCGGGCATCTATAGCTACGCAGCTCTCCTCACACAATGTGCTACTTTGTTCATTAAAGACACACTTGCTAAAAATGCATATTTGAGTTGGTTAAGAATATAAGGTACTTAACTGGTAAGAAACAGCCCCCTCCTTCCTTAAGGTCCTGACTGCACATTGGGTTAGGAGGTAATTAGCCCTAAATTTCACCCAGTAACAAGGGAAAAAAAGAAATGCAGTAATGTTACAGTAAATGAATACAACAGGATTTCAATCACTGAATTCGGATACCAGCCATACCAGTTTCCAGGGAAGCTGAAACTTATGAACTGCATCAACCTCTAGAATTGCAGGTTTCACACACAGGGGCATTAAAAAAGTAACTCACCTACTATATGCCCTGGTCAAATCTGAACAGTGCAAGCTCTTATTTTGGCCAGAGACTGTCTTGGCAAATAAGAGTATCAAAGATGCACTTATTCTAAGCTTACATTTCACTGTGTCAACAAGCAGGTATCCTATTCAAAA